TGTTGATTATTATCGGGTCTCCTCCAAGGCATTGTTGTTGTCGAATCTCCTCCCTGGTGCTAGCACAACTGAGTCGTTTCGCAATTTTTGAGAAAATTTGAATCATGAAAAGAGAATCAGGCTTTGATTGCCACCTACGCTTTCCGAGCTACCAATTCAAGGAATGTCTTGAATCGACACAAGAGAGTCAGTCTCTATTAACCGCCAACATTCCCTTTGATCATCACCTACACGCTTTGAGCTACCAATTCAAGGGAAGTCTTGAATTGGCACAAGAGATCAAATCTCTGATTACCACCAACGATCGATTTGATCACCACAAAAGATTCTTGCTGCCAATTCAGTAGAGGGGTAGGATCGACACAAGAGAAAAAGGTGATGATCGCCACTAACAATCCTTGAGCTACCAATCCAAAGGGAGAACTTGGACTGGCATAAGAGATTGTGCTCTTCCACCATCCCTTCCCCTGCCCCCAAGAGGGGTATTTATAAGAGTAGAGGAGGAGAAATGCAAGAGAAGATTGAAGTGCAAAATTCTTCATCCCATACGAGGATATTTATACTTGAAAGGGGATGAGAAGAGTCTCATGGATATAAATGAGTAAGTTTTGAAAATTTATGGAAGAAACTAACATGAATATAAATGCAAGAGTTATTAAAATTTATAGAAAAAAAGTCACTTGAATGTAAATGAGAGAGTTATGAAAATTTATGAAAGAAACTCACATAAATTCATGAAAAAGAGTTATATGAATTCATGAAGAGAGTTATATGAATTCATGGAGGGAGTTACAAGGCTTTAAATAAAAAAGTCTCTCTATCTCTCTCTTTAAAAAAAAAAGAAAAAAATTTCCAAAAAAAGAGAAAAAAAAAAGAAATAAAATAAATTGCAAAAGGGGACGCATATTTGTGCGCCCCCATCTGCGAGCCAAAGTGCGTGCGCGGGACCACCAGCATCGGCTAGGCGGCCATTTCAACCGACAAGCCTTGTTCGGCCCGATTTCAACCCGAACGGTCCAATACCAATATTTTTTAGTTCCCAGAATCATTTTTGGACATTCCGAACTCAATTTTGTCACTTTCAGAGTAAAATAAAGCCTCTACAATCAATTTAAAGCAATTTTAAGTTTTGCAACAAAATTTTTAAAAGATTCTTGTTCAAATCAAACGCCCCAGCTTCAAGAAATGTTCAATTCATATTCTAAGACGTATTACTTGGTTCACAAATTCAAGGGGAGGTCTGCTTTGGCCTCCAAATGCATACATATTGCACGATTTATTTTAATTGGTACTTTCGTTTCAATAATTTCTCAAAAACTTTAATATGTATTTTTGGGCTCGTAGAATTTTGATGTTCGAAAATAGGGGCGCGACGAATATGTTACAAAAAAAATTCTGATCACGCACTAATATCGATGTAAATATGAATAAGAAGTTTCAAAAATTAAATCTGAGATCATCTGAATTTTGATTTCATCAAACTTATAGTCAAAGTGATTGTCCCAATGAGATCATCTGAATTTTAAAAGATTCTTGTTCAAATCAACGCCCCGGCTTCAAGAAATATTCAATTCATATTTTAAAACGTATTACTTGGTTCACAAATTCAATGGGAGGTCTGCTTTGGCCTCCATATGCATATATATTACACGATTTATTTTAATTGGTACTTTCGTTTCAATAATTTCTCAAAATTTTTAATATGTATTTTGGGACTTCTGGAATTTTGACGTCCAAAATAGGGGCGCAACTGATATGTCATAAAAAAATATTCTGATCAAGCACTAATCTCGATGTAAATATGAATAAGAAGTTTAAAAAATTAAACCTGAGATCATCTGAATTCTGATTTCATCAAACTTATAGTCAAATTGATTGTCTCAATGAGATGATCACAATGACCCAATATGTGAGCCCAAATGGGCGCAAATCAAAGGGCTAAAACCTACTGGAAAGCTTCAGAGTATTAATTAGATGATCAAATAATATCTAAATGTGACATGCTTATAGTCAAATCGAGGGGATCGACGAGATGAATCCAATGTGCCCAAGAACGCCTATTTCTTACATCATTAAGGCACTTAAATACTTAATAAATGATTCATGATCAAGGGAGTCGACATCGGCCGTCCATTGGAACACTCATAACTTACTCTTGATTTTCCATATTTACTAGTTAAGGCATGACACTATAAAAAAAACTATAAATAATCCTTCATTCATCACATGGAGGGGAGGAAAGAGGAGAAAAAGGAGAAGAGGGAACTAGTGAGAGCTCCATTGTATTTTCCAGCCATCGTTGTTGATGACCACCATCAGCTATTATCATTGGCAACCACCGTCACCACCTACTAACCTCCGTCGACTGTTGCCAGACTTATGCCTATTCGTTGGCCTCCGCCGATTTTTTTCTTGACCATCGACTGTCACCAGACTTATGCCCATTTGTTGGCTGCAGTCGGATCTCTTACAGACCACCGCCCGTCGTTGAACTTACATCCTTTTGTTGATAGCTACCGCACCTCTTCTGGATCTCCAACCAACGCCGGACCTTTGCCAAATATCTTCCTAATTGTTGTTGCCATAATATCTGTCATTCAATCAATATTTAAAGTTTCTGCCTAAAGTCTAGTCGATTCTCCAAAATATTGTATTCTCATCATCCTTAAGTTACGGGACGGTTCGACCTTTGTAATATTTTTAAATATTAGTGGAATCATTTCAATTGGGCGAGGCCCCATAGTTTTCCTCTTTTTTAAGATTTTTCACATAAAAATTTTGGTATTTCTTTGTCATCTCAATTATTTGGTATGTTCCTTTCGTATTAGCCTCAACATGATAAAACTAACCCCCATTAAACGCATAGTGGTTTCCCATACTTCTGGTTTCCCCTTCTTCAACTATATTAGCAAAAACACTCATCTCTAAGCTGTTTATGAAATGGCCCTCCACATAGCTTATTCGTATTCTCCATTTCATCTTTCCTTGAAGCTAACTCTCTCCTAACTCCATATGGCCTGACCATTACTGTTCTTGTTCTTGTCAACTCAACAAAAATGTTTAATTTTCCCTCGAGATGTAACTCATTCTCAGATAGATTATACTCCCTTGAGCTTGGAATGGATTGATGGTTATTTCCTTGAAGCTAACTCTCTTCTAAAATAACATGCTTAGAATGGATATAAGTATAATTATTTTTATGCTTATGGTTGAGCACCCAATTATCCTACATCCATTCCTATGCCTCATTCGGCTTAAGAATTCCATTATCCTAATCCTTCTTTACTCCATGAACTGGTTCAAAAATTGTCACATACACACCTTTCTTAAATAGGCGTGTCAAAATAGTTAAAAGGATGTAACCATAAATTCTTTCAAGACTATGGAAAAGCCAAAGTAAAAGTACTAGAACAACAACAACAACACCATCAAGCCTTCATCCTGTTGCGTGTGGTTGGCTACATGAATCTGTTTTTTTCAATGTGTCCTATTAAGAGTCAAATTTTCATTTAAATCTAACAAAGCCAAAGTAATCTAACAAAGCCAAAGTAAAAATATATACAATTGAACAGAACAACCATAAAACTTTCTTATAGTGCTTTGATCTAAAATAAATTGCTCACACTGGATAAATTAAAAAACTAAAATTATAGGAAGAAACTAAACAAACTAACTAGTACATGAAATAAAATACACAAACACAATTTTCTGCATGGTTTGAGCCCCAATTGATTTACACATCCACACCTTAGCCTCATCTAGCTTAGGATTCCATTACCCTAATCCTTTCTTCACTGCTTGAGTGTTATATTTACTAAAATTATTAGGTTTTCATATTAATATTTATTAAGAACTTATAATATTGATTTTTTTGATAGATCCGTATTATGGAGAATATTCTCTTTTATTGTACTTTCTTTATTGCTCTATTTTTTTGTCTTTATAGAAGTATGTTCGTACTAGTATTAGATTCATTCAAATAAAGATGTAATCTTTTAGGTTTTCTATCATAGCATCAATGCCTTTCTCTTGCTCTTGCGTCTCATAATAAACTCCAAAGTCTTTAGTTCTAGTCAGTTATCCTTGCATTATACAAATTCTTAATGCTTTTTGTTGTAGCATTAAGAGTTTGTAGAAGAGTGTTAGAGCTATTAGAGTTATTAAATTATCATATTAATACTAACAATACTTAATTTTTATTAAAAATTTATTGTATTAATTCGTGTAATATATCCTCATTATGGAGGATATTCTCCTTTAGTCTACTTATTGTTCTATTTATTTGCTTTTATATGAGCATTCTTGTACAAGCATTAGATTCATTCAAATAAAGATGTAATCTTCTAGGTTTCCATCAACAAGAAGGTGGAGAAACTGTTACAAACATCTCTTTTTCTAGGTGAATGCAACCCAAAGGTGCTACAAACATGTAACCTCTAAGTCTTCCTAGACTTGGCAAAATCTAAAGTAAAAAATAAATACTATAAAATGAAGAGCAGCTACAACTTTTTTGCGATACTTTGTTCTAAAATAAAATGCTCACAATGGATAGATGAAAAATAAAATTAGAGCAAGAAATAAACACAATCACAAGTGTATGAAATAAAAGGTATGAACACAAGATTTTTTACATGATTTGTCACCCAACTAACCTACATCCATCCCTTAGCCTCACCCAGCTTAGGATTCAATTACCCTAATACCTTCTTTGCTCCATGGGCTGACAGAGAAATTATCACAAACACACCTATCTTCTAGGCAAGTGCAACCCAAAACCATTACAAACACTAAAGATTTATTACGTATTGCTTCTACGTGTGCAATTTTTTCTCTTTATCCATCTGTACATGGGATCTATGCGCAAGCTAGGATGTTTATCTCATTTTCTAAACTGTTAATTTTTCTATTACACAGCAAGTTCTATATTACTAAAACATTAAGATTTCTTTTCACTATGAGAGGCCATTTTGGGTCCCCTGATTTTTTTTTTCCTATTGCAGATTTCATTGGCAAAATCTACTTGCTCGTTGGCTCTAAAAGAATTGCAGCAATGGATGAAACCCGAGAAGGTAATCACTTCTTGGATAGAGCTACATTTTTTAGAATGAAAGCAAGATGTAGCTTTTGTTTGTGTTTCTGCGTTCAACCAAGTCTCGCTGACACTAACTGCTGAAATGTAACACGCATGCAGGTGTCGAGTATACTAACAGCCTTCCCCTCATCAGCAGAGATTTTACCAGAGCCCCTGGGTGTTGTGCTGATTATTTCAGCTTGGAACTATCCTTTCTGTATGTTGCTGATACTTGACATTTAAATCAAATAAAAATAGTTTATGCATGATCAACTTATTCTTATTGTGTGGTTTTTTAATTTTGGCATAGCTAGTGCAGTTCACTTTCGTGCTCCTTAGTTACTTTTCTTTCATTTTTTACATAACGTGCTGATTGCTGAAATTTCAGTTTGACTTCACATGCTTCTAATGAGTACAACTATTTTAGAATTTCTTTTTTAACTCCACTCCTATTTTTATGGTGGTTGTTTGGATTCAACTTAAAATTGATACCATTGTTTATGGCCTAGGTAATTTATCATTTACGGATATCTTTATGGGTCTCAGTTACTCTTTTTTAACTTGTCTTGTTTTTCTTAGCATTGTATTTTTGTCATTTTTGTGCAATGACTCCCAGTATGGAGAAAAAGGTAATGCAAAAGCGAATTTGAAAATTAATGGAGTGTTTCTGTCATTATTTAGAGAGGGAGCTGCTAGCACTATGGCAAAACTAAAGCTCTGTTATACTGGTAGTTACATTGGCATTTATTAAGAGGTTTGATGAAGAATTATAGAGAAAATAAGGAGGATCTACATATGATATTTATTGATTTAGAAAAAACATATGATAAAGGTCCAAGAGAAGTGCTATGGAGAGTTCTTGAAAAGAAAGGAGTCAATAATGTTTATATTCAAATCATTAAAGATATGTATGCAGGAGCTATTACTTGTGTTCAAACACAAGGTGGATTGTCCAAGTATTTCCCTATTTCGGTTGGGTTACATCAAGGATCAGCCTTAAGCCCATATCTTTTTGCTTTAGTCATGGATGTTCTCACTAGACATTTGCAAGAGGATGTACCTTGGTGTATGCTTTTTGCTGATGATATTCTTCTTGTTGATAAGACTAGAGAGGGAGTTGAAGGTAAACTTGAATTATGGAGGTCAACCTTAGAGTCTAAAGGTTTTTGCTTGAGTAGATCTAAAACGGAATATATGGAGTGTAATTTTAGTAGTAATAGACCTAGTGAGGGGATTATGACTTTGGGAGATCTAGTCATTAATAAGAGTACATGTTTTAGATATCTTGGATCTATTGTTCAGAGTGATGGTGAAATTGATGGGGATATTATCAGCAGAATTCAAGTTGGATGGTTGAAGTGGAGGAATGCATCGGGCTTGGTATGTGATAGAAATGGAAGCCTCAAACTTAAGGGAAAATTCTATAAGATGGTAGTGAGGTCTGCAATGCTTTATGGTGCCGAATGTTGGCCTTTAAGAGAGAAGCATAATACTAAGTTAAGTTTGACAGAGATGAAAATGCTCAGGTGGTTGAGTGGCTTTACCCTTAGAGATAGGATACGAAATGAGCATATACGTGGAAAGGTTGGAGTAGCTCCAGTAGAAGATAAGATTAGAGAAAGTCGCCTTAGATGGTTTTGGTCACATAAAACGGCGGCCTTGTGATGACGTCCCGGTTAGGAGAGTAGAGGTATTAGATTTGACTTATGTTAAGAAAGGTAGGGGTAGACCTAAAAAGGCTTGGTTAGAAAATATTAGGAATGATCTTTCTTTATTAGATTTAAACGAGAATTTGACTTTTAATAAAACACAATGGAGAAAAAGGATTCATGTAGCCTACCCCACGTAGTGGGATAAAGGCTTGATGTTGTTGTTGTTGTTGTATATAAAAATCAATTCTTCATTTTAATTAATACATTATGATATTTGGGGAGATTTTAGTGTTCATGGCAGTTCTGGTGCTTATTACTTAACCATTGTTGATGGCTTTTAGCACTGTAGTGGGATATTTCTAATGAAACACAAGTTAGGAGTCCAATCATTCTTGAAAAATTTGGTCGCCTTTCTCACCACACAATATAACACAACGGTCAAGCAGTTACATAGTAATGGCTCACGACTTGCTTATTGTTACACAACCTCCTTATTCTCTTTTTAAAGTTTTTTGCAACCTTTGTTTTGCTATAACGTGTCTCCAAATAAACACAAATTAAATGTTCAATCTAAGCTTGTCATAATTGTTTTTTAATATTCTTTTGGGAAAAAAGAGCTATAAATTTTTTATCTCAAATTAAGGATCATTTGATATCAAGGTAAAAAATTTAAATGGTCCTCATTTTGTGGCAAAATAGTTTCTTTTGGGAAAAGGGATATTGTTCAATGAACACATTTTGCTTTAAAAAATTTCCTAACTTTAATGCACATACATCCAATTCTGATCATTACTCATTTATGAGTTGGATACAAAAGTTTATACTTTCTCTAAAACCCTTACTTTCAATGAGCTAAATAATCAATCCACTAACTCAGAAATATGTAATCCACCTCTTCGTTCTTGACACCAACCAACATATTTGAATGATTATGTCTGCAACACCACCATTTCTAGCAATCACTCGCATTTAAAAATTCCTTGTGCAAAAGGGTACAGAACATCCTTTGTCTCAAGTTGTTTGTTATGACCAACTATCTACTTGTCATAAATCTCGTCTTAACTCTTGATTTCAAATTTGAGCCTAGTAGTTTTTCTCATGCAATTGAAGTCCCAGAATGGAGAGAAGCAATGATGTCTGAAATTGACGCACTAGTAATACATGGGCAATAACCAGTTTACATACTAGGAAGTGGCCAATTGATTACAAATGGGTCTATGGAATTAAGAATTGGACTGATGACGCTAAAGACCCCGTCTCACCAAAATTCTTCCTGGAATTGAGTAGCTCACTCATCGCAAGTAATTTTTCTATGCCAACAGAAGTATTGTTTGGACATTCTCAATGATATGGGGATATTGGAATGTCATCCAACAAAAATACCAATGGAACAAAATATGAATTTTGACTTTGAACATGGGGATCTTTTTTCATATCTAGTTATATACTGTTGTTATCTGATAGGAAGATTGCTTTCCTTAACCATCACTCGGCAAAATACTTTGTTTGCTATCTACATACTCAGTCAATTCCTGCGAGCTCCCCATAAAACTCATATTGCTGTTGCATTGCAAATTTTGAGGCACTTAAAAGTGCATCCTGGTAAAGGAATTCTCCTTGCTAGAGGTACGGCACGTCTTTAGGCCATCCCTATGTTTTCCAATACATCTTGCCATCCTTTAGTTGGTGCAGCATGATATTGTGTCAAGCCAGAGAATCTCTAAAGTTGCCCATGTATTGATTTTCTAGTGTATTCCATATTTTGGATTTGCTAATATTTTTCGACACATTGGAGAAAAAGAATTCATGTAGCCAACCCCACATAGTGAGATAAAGGCTTGATATTATTGTTTTTGTTGTTGTTGTAATATTTTTCGTCAATATTTACTTTGTGAAAATAGTCATTGGCTTGTATTTCTTCTCTCTTATTGAGAATCAGAATTATGCCCTGCTAAGAATTACCGAATGAATATCATTTTGTTTTCACAGATAGGATTGAACTTGAAGTTATTTATACATATAATTTAGATTAAAAAAAAATCCTACATGAAATTTAGATTTCTTAGGGGTCTTGATGTACTATACAATTTTTTTTTTTTTACTGTCATAATGAATTTACTTTATTTATTTTCTTTCTTCCTAGTGCTCGCTATTGATCCTGTCATAGGAGCTATTGCAGCGGGTAATTCTGTTGTCCTAAAGCCATCAGAAATTGCTCCATCCACATCAGCTTTGTTTGCTAGATTATTACCGAAGTATATAGATAACTCTTGTATTAAAGTTGTTGAGGGCACTGTTCCTGAAACTACTGCACTTTTGGAACATAAATGGGACAAAATACTTTATACAGGTTAGTTCGTTACCTGTTATGCACTTTTGGAAGTACTCTCGAAAAAATGTTTATATACCGAGGTGTTTTATGCGCTTGTTTTATTCTTTGCTCCACTTTTTGGAGCAAAAATTAATTATTATCTTTATGTTTTTTTTTTTGGGTGAACTTTTGTCCCTTTGTTTTTCTATTATCATTCTGGATTTTGGCTCATAAATCTGTCATTTCTGTTACTAGATATGCAGGGCTTAGAATGTGGCATGGCTTTTTATAATAGCTTATTAGTTATTTTTTGTGCCTCACTTTTTTACGTCAACAATTCATCCAAGATGAACGAGTGATTAATGTAGCATAATTTGGGTTTTCATTCCCAACGGAAATGCAGCTTCGTGAATTTAACCATCTGGGAATTATATTGACAATGAAAATGTCTTTTCTTTTAAAATTTTACTGTCAAACTTGTTGATGTAGAAAGATCTAGATCATTGATCTTAAAAATTTTACTTGAGTTGTAAATGTTAAGTCTCATGAAAGTTGATCTAGTCAAATTACACTTTTGCTGTTGCTCTGACTGAGCAGCTCCATAAATACATTGAGAGTAGGAATTTTTTCATATTCTTTAAGTAATGTGCAGTTACAAAACATTTAAATTTTGTTTTCTTGATATTGGGACAACATATTTGGGTAGTATGAATACAAATATCCTGTTCTATTTTCTGGCCTTCCTGCGGGATGCAAGCATTTTTCTCTTGCTTTAAGCCTTACAAACATACATTAACATCATCATATTGTTAGGATAATGATGAAATTTTGAGTAAAATCAAATTAAAATGAAAAATGAATACACAAAAGATTAAAATAACCAGTTACGTAATTCAGTGATGTTTACCTACGTTCACGGCTGCATAGAGATCAAATATTTTACTAAACTTTAAAAGACTATTACATCAAATATTTCTTTTCATACAAATAAAGTTATCACTTCTCTATATCAATGATTGAGAGGAAACATAGTCACCTGCTGTGAAAACATTAACTGAATGTGGAGAAAGAACATGTTCTATTGCTGCCTTTCTTTCTTGGTTGTGTGAGTTTTTCCTCTTTTTTGTCTTCTCTTTAATATCTTCTCACTATTGTGGCTGAAAGCTTAAGCCACTATCTCCTGCTTCCTCTCCCTCCCTATTTTTCATATTTATTTGTAGCTGTGGGATGCTTAAATGCAATGGAATTATTAGCTAGTAGTTTAAAGATGGTAAGGAGCAAACTTGAATTTATTAGGTTGATGATAGTATATATCATAATGTAGATACGTAGAGAATATTTGGTATAAATTTTAGGAGTTAGGTAGACGATGGTAGATAAAAATCTTGTATGAACTAGGCAAATAAATTTATCTTAACAATTTAACACATACTATTGATTTAGCATCGACCTACATGCCAAACATTTGCTTAGATTTGATCTTTATGTCTAGAATTTTGTTTAATGTTGGGAATAGGCTAAACCTTAATCAAACATAGAGAAAGAAAAGAAACTCAACACATAAAATATGAAATTTTATATAGGTTCATCCAATTTATGGCTAGGTCTTTTTGTTATTGCTATCAAGTTTACTGTCGTTTGATTTGGGAGACTTTTAATTCCTTTAATTCTCCATAAAGATTGCCTCACCCTTTATAAGAAAGACCGCCTCATCCAAAAATTCAATGAAATTCCAAGAAATTTTTTAATGAAATAACTAGAGAAAATTGAATACCTTTTGGGAACCCCAAACTCCCGAGGGGGGGGGGGGATGCTCTTTGCCCCCTTTGAACTCTCTTGACAAATTTATCGTGGACTAAATATATGTAGCACATGTTCTTCTTAGAACAAAAATTACTCTCAGAAACTTAACATCAATGGTAAAATTTCATTGCATGAAATGCTTGAAAATAATTCATGAAATTGAGTTATGTCATTAGGTTTGGCGATGCTGAAGAGGATAAATGATCTTAAATTTCTCTCTATTATTTCAGCTTCCGGTCTCATATGTTTCTCTAAACTCCTCAGGAAATGCAAAAGTTGGACGCATTATTATGGCTGCAGCTGCAAAGCATTTAACTCCTATAGTTTTGGAACTTGGTGGAAAATGTCCTGTTGTTGTGGATTCCAACGTTGACTTAAAAGTAATCCTCAGAATGTTCATAAACAAAAAATTATACATTTTATTAATCTTGGATTCTGAGATCTCACCATTCAAAATTTCTTTTCAGGTTGCATCAAAAAGGATTGTTGTTGGCAAGTGGGGGTCCAACAATGGTCAAGCTTGCATCGCACCCGATTATATCATTACAACAAAATCTTTTGCTCCACAATTGGTAAGAACTTTCTCAAACCAGTAGCTTAAATTTTCAAGAAACAAAGTATATGTTATCAACAATAATTACACTGAGAGGAGGATAACCCACTTCAAAAAAAAAAAATTCTCAAATTAAAAAAGATAAACTTTAAAAAACAGTTTAAAATTCTAAAAATAAAACACCAATGTGGGATTCTGGATGAAGCCTCTTTCCGTTGCTGTATTTTTACCTTTATTTTCGCATTTGATAGGTGGACGCTTTAAAAATCTCTCTCAAGTCATTCTATGGGGAGAATCCTATGCAGTCTGAGGATCTATCTCGTATTGTGAATTCCAATCACTTCGCACGCATAATAAGGCTTCTAGACGATGAGAAAATTTCAGGAAAGATCATTCATGGTGGAGAGAGGGATGAGAAGCTTCTGTATGATTTTGTTCTTTAATTTTTTTATATTTACTTACTTCTGACTATGTCACAACTTAGTCACTTATTTTCATGATGTAACAGAAAGATTGCTCCTACTCTCCTATTAGACGTTCCAGATGATTCTTTGATAATGCAGGAGGAGATCTTTGGTCCCTTGCTTCCTATTGTTACTGTAAGATATTATCAAACTATTCTATGCATGCTTTGTTACTGCATTACTAATTCTTTTTGCCTAAGAGAAATCACAATTGATCGGCCAGGTTGACAACATAGAAGAGAGTATTGACTTGATAAACTCAAAGCCAAAACCTCTCAGCGCTTACCTCTTCACAAAGAACAAGAAATTGGAAGAAAAATTTGTCAGAGCTGTCTCTGCTGGTGGTTTGCTTATCAATGACACAATCATGCATGTAATCTTTTCACTCCAATTCATAAAATTACTATCAGTTTCTTATTTTGATTGAAACCCTAAACTTTGTACCAAAATCTCACCAATTTGAGATTTATTTCCTGCAGTTTGCGAATCCTAATCTGCCATTCGGAGGGGTAGGAGAGAGCGGAATTGGTGCATATCATGGCAAATTTTCATTTGATGCCTTCAGCCACAGGAAGGCTGTTCTACACCGGAGCTTTGGTGGGGAAGTATCTGCAAGATATCCTCCTTATACAGCACAGAAACAGAAGTTTCTAAGGGCTCTTCTTTCTGGCGACATCATAGGTGTCATTCTAGCTATCATTGGCTTTCCCAGGTCTTGATTATTAGGTCTTTTTTGTCTTGGGAAGACATTTGCAGAGGCTCTAATCTTATTGAAAGGTCGTTGGAACGTATATCATAATAGTCATTGTGCATGATTGTATCCTTCGTGTGTGGTATCTTTGGTACCATTTTTGTAATAAACATTGCCAGTTTTTAAATATTTATGATTACAATAATTCTGAGATTGTTCATATGATTTTCAGAACATTAGCGGTTTTCTTAAAAGTTGTTGACATATTGGGTTTCTACTGAAGGGAAAATTATTCTGTGTGAATGTCGAACGTCGTCCGGAGACCAACTAGAATATGTCATATCAACCCTGCTCGTTACCCGGCTCAGTACTGCTCGGTACCGCTGACATGACTGCACTTGATTCACCTCCGGATGTAGAGCTGTGTCCTGCGTTTGCACAGAATAATTCCTCTTACTGGAGTGGGTAAAGGGGCTCCATTAACATGTGTTATTGACCCCTTAAGTGGCAAAAGGTTGGTCTCGAAATAATACTTTTTAGTGGGTCTCCACAAAAGTTAATGGTAATGGATATTTTAAAAATAGATTTTAATTTTAAGTGTGTCCAATTATAAATTCATTAACTAAATTAAATATTTTTTTTTTTCTAAAGAATTTAAATTTGAAATTACTTAATATTTACCTTGCCTATTCAAATGGAAAGATTATTAGAATATATACTCATGTTATTTTCAAAATTAAAAACCACTTCATTGCAAAACCCTTGTGCATTTGTGCCTCAACTATTAAAAGCTTTCTTGGAGAAAATTTATGAGGAAAGCCTTAATAAATTCAAGGAAAAAAGAAAGATAAGTGTTCGACCTTCATCCCATAAAGTTTAAATTACTCTTATGTCACTTGTTCTATAATTTTATTATAACATATTTGATATCTTATTTTGTATAAATATTTTATAAGATTTGTAGTATAAGGTGATAGTTGTAGTCACCACAAAATCATTAAACTTTTAAAAGGTGCTTTTTAAGAGATTATTGACTTAGGTTTAGAGGACATGTTTTTGCCCATAAAATGGTGAGAGGGTTTACTTTTCCTTGAAGAAAATAGAGTTAAAGGGATAAATTCCCATGAAAAATGAGATTGTAGAGGCTTCATCTTCTATGTAGAGATAAGGAGAGTTATAGTGATTGTAGAAATACTAGCTCACTTATCACACTTAAAAGAGAACTTTCGCTCTTCTAGTTGAACTACATAGATATAGATCTTGTATATCTTGCTCTATGATTTAGATTTGTATTCATTAAACATTCTTTTTTATCTTTATTTTTCTTTAATTATCACTAGTATGCTTGATAATTATTCACTTCACTCTTTACGTAAATTCACTTATGTCCACATAATCTATTTTATTATGTCAAAAAAAGTAACACACTTTCTTTGTAATTTAGATTTAAACTTATTAAACAAATTTTTTATCTTTTTATGCAAAATGATTGTATATTCCTTAAAGTAGAAAAAAAGTAATTATGCTCCTAAGTTAATTATCACCATTGTGGTTAATTGTTATTCATTTACACTATTGGTATAAACTCATTCATATCCACATAATCTATTTTATTATGTTAGAAAATGTTATACATTATTTTGTGTTAAGGTAGCAAAAATTCATTATTGCATCGTTTGTGTCTAGTAACTTTGGTTTAAGCAAATTTTTTGTAATGAACATTGCAAGTTCTTAAATATTTATGATTCAAATGATTGTGTGCTCAAATTAACTTTGTTGCAAGCTATTGTTCTTGTAATTTCCAATATATTAACTATTTTCTTAAAAGTTGTTAACTTAGTGGGCTTTTGTTAAGTTTAATGGACTTCTATTAAGGCTAATTCATTTCAGATGGCTTTCTTACTTTAAGAAGCAATAAGAAAGCCGTCTCAAACGAAGCCTAAGTGGTTAATGGAGCTTGCTAACATGTATTCTTGATCCATTAATTGGCAAAAAGTTGATCTAGAAATCAGATTTTTTAGTGGGTCTCCACAAAAGTTAAAGTGTTTTCATAGAATTTAATGGATATCGGTTAAACTATTTTTAGAAATATATTTTAATTTTAAAACTAACCAATTCTAAATTGATTACCTATCTTAAATGTATATATTACTTTACATGTTGAAGAGTTTGAATTTAAATTAAGTACATATTTACATTGCCTAATCAAATTCAATGATAATTAAAATATATACTCATGTTATTTTCAAATTTAAGTATACCTAATTAAAATGCTCTTCATTGCAGAAGTCCTAATGCATTTGCGCCTCCATTATTAAATCTTTCTTAGAGAAAATTTATGAGAGAAATTTCTATAAATTCAAGGAATAGAGAAAGTTAAGTGTTCAATCTTCATCCCATCATAGATCAAGTTTAAAATTAGTGGAGTGAAGGACAATGAGTACTGTAGAAATTTTAAGTGACATATTGCCATGTAAATTAGATTTATATTCATTGAACTTTTTTTTTCTTTATTATGCTTAAATGATTGTATTTTGATTAAAGTAAAAAGGTATTTATTCTCTTGGATTATGATAATTATCACCATTATGCTTAGTAGTTATTCACTTACACTCTTGGCATAAATTCGCTTATATCCACATAATCTATTTTATTATCACAAATAAAGTTATACACTTATCTGTAATTTATATTTTTATTTATTAAACTTTTTTTTTGTATCTTTGATGATTGTATATTGATTAAAGAAAAAAGATGTTTATGCAGTTTAAGTTAATTGTTACCATTATTCTTAATAATTTTTCGCTTACACTCTTGGCATAAATTCTTATATCCACATAATTTATTTTATTAGACCAGAAAAATTTGCAAATGAATTCACCCCCTCTCCCTTCTTAGTTTGTCTTGATGCAACACAATATTTTAGTTAAGATTTTGCCCAGCATAATAACTAGTGTGTGTGATCAAAAGATTCAAACCATGACCAGATAAGACTTACCAACTAACTTGTTTTAGTGATCAAATTAAAATTAGTCTTGTATTACTAACTTGTTGGATTTAAAAAATTAATATTAAAATTTTTGATACATTATTGAGAATATATATGAATATCAATATAATCTTAAAAGGTAGAAATTTATGTGAGACATATTTATAAAGAGGTGAACTTATATATGGTCTAAATAGATGATTTATTTGAAAACTAATTATGGTGATATGCTCTTGGTTAGTCACATAAGATCTACTTATATTTATTTTGATTCTTTTTACTAGGTAAACCATCACATGTTGATGTTTGTAAACCTATCATAGCCTAAGGTCAATCCTAAAACCAAGCCTTAACCCACTCAGCCAATTAAAGTGCTAACTCAATTTGGATATAGATGAAAATGTATGTCAGGATGAGTATACAGGATTAGGCTCACTAATCATCTTACTAGGATTCAAGTATTTAAATTTGACATAAACAATTGAAATAGAAACATTCTAAGTATTTAGAAGTGCTCATAATTCAGAGTATATGCAAATAGAACTTGCTCAAATAATAAGATCTCTTTGTGGTTGTGGTCAACAATGAAAGAAATTTGTTTCCTTGATTTGGATGTAATAGACTATATATTTAGGTAAATATGATATGCCTAAGTAAGAAAAACTTATTGAATGTGGCATACCAAAATATCTCCTAAGAGTGGAGTTCAGGCAATTGAACAGACTAAGCTTGGTTCTAAATTATTAATGGATGATATATGATATATCTAAGTTTAAATGATAACCAAAGAATAAATGGTCCACTTGTACTTTAGAGTGTATACATAGATCAAAACTAAGCAAAAGGAGGAGTAAACGATGCTCAAGGTTTTAATGTAATTTAGACCTTGAGATGTAATGCATGTACGCAACCTATTCGATAACATTTTGTTGATAAAAATAATCACAAGATGTGATTTGAGAAATGTGACAAACTATGTCATCAAAAATAATATCTTAGAATGATCCTGAACTAGGTGAAAGGATTGCCTTCATAAATCATAGGGATGAATACATGAAATGTTATTAATGCAGTTTAAGTATATGTTTTTCACATATTGATCAACTTGTCAATCATAAATAGATTGGTGAATACATTTGTACTCAAATGTGTAAAGTTAGCCTTGGCCTAAATCAATCAAGTGTTAGCTTAAATTATTGAGATTAAATATAAACTGGGTGCAATATGTGTATAATAAATGACCCTATATTGATTTATAATTCAATGTACATAAAGATCATAAACATCCAAGGAATTGAACCAGTCAGGTCAAGTCAACCTAAATGAAATGACTTGATTTGATTAGTGAGCAATACAAGTTTGTGTATTGATATGTTGTACTAAGAAAATTGCTTAGATACCTCAATCCAAACTTAATGAACATTATGTTAATAGGGATG